TCTCGAAGAACCAGCTCTTGGTTTCATTGATCTTTCGGATTGTTTCTTTGTTTTCCATGTCGTTGATTTCTGCTCTAAGTTTTATGATCTCTTTCCTTCTGCCTGATTTAGGCTCTTTCTGTTGATCCTTTTCTAAGGTCTTGAGCTGTGAGGTCAAATTGTTTATGTGCATCGTTTCTATCGACTTAAGATAGGCTTGCAGAGCTATAAATTTTCCCCTTAATACAGCTTTCGCTGCATCCCATAAGTTCTGGTAGTTTGTGTCTTCATTCTCATTTGTTTCCAGGTATCTTTTGATTTCATCCTTGACTTCGTTCCTGACCCACTCATTGTTCAGCATCGAGTTGTTTAATTTCCAGGTGTTTGATTTGGTTCTCCGTGTCTTTGTGTGATTCACTTCTATCCTCAGTGCATCATGGTCTGAAAAGATGGCTGAAACTATTTCTATCTTCTTGATTCTGTTGAGGCATGTTTTGTGTCCTCGCACATGGTCTATTTTGGAAAATGTTCCGTGCGCGCTGGAGAAGAATGTGTATTCTTTCTTTTTGGGGTGTAAAGCCCTGTATAAGTCCATAAGCCCTTTCTCTTCTATTACTTCTTTCAAAGCCAATAATTCCTTGCTGGGTTTTGTTCTTGTTGATCTATCCAGAGGTGATAAGGCGATGTTGAAGTCTCCAAGTACTATTGTGTTGGTAGTGATGTCCTCCTTAAAATCTGTTAGCAGTTGTTTTAAATATTTAGCTGTTCCCTCTTTAGGTGCCTATACACTTAAGAGTGTGATTTCTTCCTGTTGTATGTATCCCTTGATGAAGAGAAAATAGCCTTCACTGTTCCTTCTAATCTTTTTCAAGGTGAAATTAATGTTGTCGGATACTAGTATGGCCACCCCAGCTTTTTTGAGGGAGTTGTGTGCTTGCAGGATTGTTTTCCATCCTTTGACTTTGAGTCTGTGTTTGCTCTGGCTGTTGAGGTGAGTTTCTTGTAGGCAGCAGAATGTTGGGTTCTGTCTCTGTATCCATTTTGCCACTCTGTGTCTCTTAATTGGTGAATTTAGACCGTTGACATTGAGAGAGAGAATGGTTATGGGGTTTTGTGTCATCTTTCTGTGCGGGGGTGTTGTGGTTGTAGGGTTTGTCTTTTCTTATAGTAGCCCCATCAGGCCTTGCTTTAGGTTTGGTTTTGAGTCTATGAAGTTCCTGAGCTGCTGTTTATCTATAAAATAGTGTACCGTTCCTTCGATTTTGAGGGAGAGTTTAGCCAGATCGAGTATTCTTGGTGAATCATTCATTTCTGTGAGTTTTTTTACTATATCTCGCCACTGCCTTCGGGCTTGTAGGGTTTCCTCTGATAGGTCTGCTGTGTATCTAAGGGATGCTCCTTTGTATGTGATTTCCTTCTTTGCTCTTGCTGCTTGCAGTATTGTGTCTCTATTGGTAGTATCGATCATTCTAACTATGATATGTCTTGGAGTGCTTTTGTTGGGGTCTCTTTTAGCTGGCACCCTTCGGGCTCCTTGAACCTGAATGGCTGCATTGTGCAGCTCTGGGAAGTTTTCAGCAATGATTTGTTTGACGGTGTTTTTTTCGTTGGGATTGTTTCCTTGAGCTTCAGGTAGTCCCATGATTCTAATATTGTTCCTCTTGGAATCATCTGCTAGGACTCTGATTCTCTGTAGAGCCATTTTGAGGTCCCTTGCCACTGTTTGTTGTTGCGTGTTGGCTTGTTGCAGCTGATCTTCCAGCTCACTAATTCTCTCTTCAGCTGTGGTCATTCTATTTTTAAGAGAAGAAACTGAGTTTCTCATTTCATCTATGGAATCTTTTAATCGTGACATTTCTGCTCTCATTTCTTCTTGTAATTTGTCGATTTTTTCTGTGGTGTTACTGGCTGTCTGTCTGACTGTTTCATTGAGTTGATTGAACATCTTCATGACTTCGTATCTGAATTCTATGTCAGAGAGGTCCTTTAGGTGAGCTGTATTGATGGAATGTTCTAGATTGTTTTCGTTGTTCTCCCCTTGTGGTGGGAATTTTCTTTGTTTCTTCATATTGCTGAGTAGGTTGGGAACTAGATTCCTTGGGGAGTAGGTTCCTTAGTATGGGAAAACAACCTGCATCCGCGTAAGCGGCCACCTGCTGGAAATTAAGCCATACCCACTTTTGAGGCCACGCCCACTTTTGAGGAGGCCACGCCTCTACAGAACCCTGGGTTTGGGATGAGATGGGCGCCGCGGTCAGGAGTGAAGAGGGCAGGGCATACGCTCAAAACTGCTTCTCTTCAGGCATCTCGGGGGACACCTGGGGTCCTGCAGGGAAAGATGGAGGTCCCCGGGTTGGGAGCCGGCAGTTGTGCTGACCTGGATTTAAGATGAAATGGGCGCCGCGATCCTTAAGTCTCTATTTAAAAGGCCTTGGTCAAAATCTCCTCAGGACATTTTAAAATCTAAAGATTTCTATTCTGTTGCTGATGGAAAGAAGAGAAAGATCTCATCTGGAGGAGAGATCTAATCTAGAGAAATAGGGATTGCACCTTGGTAATGGCTTTGGAGGGCAAGAAATGCTACTAGAGGGAAAACTGGATTTATGTGAACTAGAAAATTTTGCTCTTCCCAAGACACTCCCCCTTCATGATACTACACTGTCATAATACATTGATTCTAACACAAAATATTTTGCTTTCATTTGAAGAAAATCGTGATAATGAGCAAACAAATGTATGCTATTTAAAGGCTAAAAGCTCCTCTTACTTCTGGCATCACTGAACATGGCACCTGCTAGACCAAGGAATGTGGCGGCCTGATTAGAGTACCCGGGTTCGATTCCCAGCATCCTATATGGTCCCCCGAGCACCGCCAGGAGTGATTCCTGAGTGCAAAGACAGGAGCCAGGAGTAACACCTGAGCATTGACGGGTGTGACGCAAAAAGAAAAAAAAGACAGAAAATATGCATATATTCTGTTTCTCATCAAAGTTTGTCTCAATAATTTTACCATTCACTGATGATTTCTTATCTATGATAATTATCACTCAACAAAACAAAACAAAATCACATGGACTAAAGCCCAGGTCAAGGAGCCCTCCCTAAAGAGATGGGAGATGTGCTCTGATTGGTGGCATAGATATTTAATAAACTGTTTAAACTAGTAACTAGCACGTTATAGTTGAGAGTGCTCACTGCTCATATAAAACTCTGAATACTTGGGTGACAATGATTCACTGAATCTGTTCCCTTTAGAACACTATTATGCATGAGACAGAAGAATGGCTACTGTAAATGTGGACACAACTGACTCAGATAAGGAAGGAATCAGAAAGTTTTGAATTTTATGGAAAAAATTCCCGGCAAAGTTTCATAACTACAATATGTTATATCCTTATATCCATCTGTTTGTTTCTACAAAAACTGGTATCTACTCTACCCTATACTTGAACATGTCAATATTAATCTTAGCCCTTTCCATCTTTGATCATTTCCCATAATTGACCAGGTTTTTCTGGCAAGCATGCACACAAATCCCAGAAGACGAACATGATTCTGTCAATAGAGGCAATGAGCTACAAGTGCCCATCATCAAAGTGTGAACACATTTACAATATGAAGGTCACACTCATGTCATGACCTGGTGAGTTGCCTTTAATGAGAATGGTGCTTTGAAGGCAAGAAATCAATACCCCATAAATCTCCGTATTTTCTGAAATTCCACGTATTCTTCACTGTTTATGAATTTACTGCAATTCTGTAGGTATATAAAACCTAAAGTTGGTGAAGAAATAGTGCTAATCTCTCTAGAATATGTCCATATTCTGAATCTTTCTGAATATACTATTTTTCCCCCATAACATACAACTTTAAACTTATTTACTTAGGCTTTTGAACCACATCTTGCAATGATCAGGGGTGCCCAGCTCAGTGCTTGGGGCTTGCTTCTGGAGGTACACAGGAGACAATAGGATAGACTGAACCTGAAAGCGAGTACTTCAGTCCTGCAGGGGGCCCCGGTAACCACTCTCTGGCCCGCAGAGGTGGCCCGAGGATTGATCCGATGGTGCAAGGAGGGACCAACTGAATGAACACGAGACACAAGAGACAGAGTACAGTTTAGAAACAGAGAGAAAAAGGGACAGGCTTTATTGAGGGATACAGGCTGTTTATATAGGGTCCGGGCAGCTCAGTCAGGAGCAGAAGCAATATAACCATATATGGTAAGGTCAGCAACAAGAGCTTTACCTAACATTCAAGGTAGACATTTGTACATCAAAGGGTCTGGTTGCACTCACACCCCCCACCCCCCCCCATACACACATGGCGGTTTACGACCACCTTTTCTTGCTGAAAAGGTGGTGTTTCTCATGTGGGGGCTGTATTCTCGCAGAGGTGAGAAACAGTTCCTTCTGTGCATTGGCCCCACCCAGGCCCATGTGTCCAGGAGATTCCAGCTGCTTTGCAGGCCAACCCCACCTCATGGAGCCCCCTGCCTTGTGTGGAAGCAGGAAGTGATTGGGAGTGAAACCCCAGGGCTGGGAGATTGACTGGTTGGGAATGTCTGGGGAGTGCGGGTAGTTTGGGGAGGTTGCGCCAAGGTGTTGACTGACCATTCCAACCTTGGTTGTTCTTGTGAGTTGTCACACAGGCAGCACCCAGGGGCTGCTCCTCATGCTGCACTCAGAGGTCTCTCCCAGCCATACTTTGGGCATGGGGGTGGCGTCATGCAGTGCTAGGGACCAAACCCGGGCCTCCTGTATACGAAGCATGCACATTAGCACTTTAAGCTCTCTCCCCCTCGTTTTGCCCTTTAAGGAAACCCTAGTCCCAGACCCTGTATTCTCCAGCCCCCTAAATATCATGGCCCCTTTGACCGAAATTCCCCCATCCCGTCCCTTTCCCCTTGAACTTGACATTCCATTTGGCTTCCCTTGTGCACAGGTGTACGCCACAGGAACACAGAGCTGAAAGGCCCTGGGCATGGGGCCGTTGGCGCTGGGGTTGGAGTGGCTGGGAGAATGCGCTCAGATGCGCTGATGCGGGGACGAGTCACTGTCATCCCGTAAGCGCAGCCCCCCCCCCTCCAGAAGCACCAGGCTCTGCAGCACACCCTGGCAGTACAGGTGGGAGCAGAACCAAGCTAGAGAAAGAGCCCAGCGGGCAGGACGCTGGGCCTGGGGTCCGTCCCCAGCATTCCATGTGGTCCCCCGAGTGCCACCAAGCATAATTCCTGAGTGCAGTGCATCACTGGGTGTGGCCTCCAATCCCCGAAATAAGAAACAAATCCCACGAAAACCACACTGGAGCTGCTGGGCCCGAGAGACGTGTGGTCATGTGATCATGTGACCCACAGGACGAAAGGGGACAGGGCGGGAAGTGCAGGTGCATGTTCTTCCCACAGAGAGGAGGGGCTCAGCGAAGAAGGGTCCTGCAGACAGATGTCTGGGGGGCTTGCATGTCTTTGACTCTCAGGCCACAAGACAAGAACGCAGATGTTGCCTTCTGGGGACGGTGGGGGGTGGCCTAGATCCCAGCGACCAGGGGGGTGGGCAAGGAAGCTGGTGAGGCATCTAGCCATGGAGGGCCCCAGGGACGACTTCAGCTTTCCCCACACGAGCCTTTCCCGTGCACTGGGGCAGTACTCACAGGATTTGGCTTTGGGCCCGGCATTGCAGGTCACCTGGCCCGGCCCAGCTCCGGTTTTCCCACTGGCAAACAGGCGAATCTGTCTGGGGAAGTACTGGCAATTCTCTCTCTGCTTGAGGGTGAGCTCGGGGTCATAGGAACCCTGTCCCTGTGGATGGGCACGTCCAGTGACACTTGGGACTAGAGTGGCTGGCCATGTTTCTAGCTCACAGGAGTTGACTAAATATCATTCCTGCACCGTGCCATGGATCAACCCGGTCAAGGCTACTATGCGGTTCTGGAGTCCGCTGGGCAGCCCCCTGTTAGCAGCAAGGGGGGGGGGAATAGTCCCCAGCCTGTGGCCTTTTTCTCTATGCAGGATCTCCCAGCGTGTGGAGCAGAGCCAGAGCCAACTTCAGGCCATTGAGGAAAGGGTCTCCTTGGCCCAGGCCAAGATAGAGAAGATCAAAGGCAGTAAGAAGGCCATTAAGGTAGGCGTTTGGCCCGGTGGCCTCCACTCTGGCTCAGAGTCTGCCCTGCCCACATTCCTGTGCTATGGAACTTGCCTGCCCCCTGCCCTTGCTTACCGACCCCTCCCCAGGGCTCCCTCCTGCCCAGACTTCTCTGCAGCCAGTCCTTGGCCCACTGGGCTGTCTCAGGCTCCTGGACCACGGGACTCAGGTTCCCCTGTGCCTGCAGGTGTTCTCCAGTGCCAATTACCCAGCTCCCGAGCACCTGCGGGAGTATGGCTCCATCTTCACGGGGGCCCAGGACCCCGGCCTGCAGAGATGCCCCCGCCACAGGATCCTGAGCAAGCACCAGCCCCTGGACAAGCGGGCCCTGCAGGTCTGTGGGCACTCAGCTCCTGTGGGCTACTGTGCCCAGTGGCCCGCACGTTAGGATTCCAGTCCCCCAGAGCATGGACTGGGACGGGATGGAGGTTGCTGGGCCTAATGCAGAATGCAGCATCCCTCTGTCCCTCCTCCAGGAGAAGCTGAAATACTTCCTCGTGTGTGACCACCAGGCTGGAACCCAAGGATGAGACCGAGGAGGACCTGGGGGGTCTTCCCAACAACATCAGCTCAGTCAGCTCCCTGCTGCTGTTCAACACCACCGAAAACCTGTACATCTGGTGGGGGGGGGGACTGGGGCTCCCCTGCAGGGTCCCCATCGGTGGCTTAGCCCTGTGGGTGGCTTCGGAAGTCTGTGCTTTGGGAATCCATACACTAACTCGAGGGTGCTCCTGGAACAGCACAGGGGGATCAGGGCCACAGACCTCCGCAGGTTGAGCCTGGCACCCACCTCCACAGGTACAAAAAGTACGTCTTCCTGGGCCCCCTGGCTGGCGCGGCCACCAGGACCCACGTGTCGCTGGGCACCGAGCCGGAGGAGAAGCCAGTGGACGCGCTGCTCTCCATCAGCAAGAGGGAGCAGCTGGAGCGGCAGGTGGGCAGCGAGCTGTGGGCGGCGGGCAGGGGGTGGGCCCAGGGCACCGCTCAGAGCTGGCCCTCCCCCCGGAGGCCCACGAGAGCTACTTCTACGTGCCCGACCTGGGCCAGGTGCCTGAGATAGATGTGCCGTCCTGCCTGCCCGACCTGCCGGGCATGGCCGACGACTTTGATGATATGCACAGTAATACAGCATCCACAATCAATTTTATTATCTCCCAAGTGGCCAGTGGTGACATCAACACAAACATCCAAGCTCTGACTCAGATTGATGAAGTCCTGAGACAAGAAGACAAAGTTGAAGCTATGTCCGCCCATATTGATCAGTTTCTCATAGCCACGTTCATGCAACTGAGACTCATTAACCACACACACATGGCAGATGAGAAATTGGAGAAGGATGAAATCATCAAATTGTACAGCTGTATCATTGGCAATATGATTTCACTGTTTCAGATAGAGAGTCTAGCCCAGGAGGCCTCCACTGGAGTGCTAAAAGATCTGATGCATGGTCTCATCACCCTAATGCTGGACTCTCGAATTGAAGATCTGGAGGAAGGACAACAGGTGATCCGATCTTGGTGAACCTGTGTGAACCTCTTGGTGGTGAAGGTTCTGGAGAAGTCAGATCAAACCAACATTTTGAGTGCCCTACTTGTTTTGCTTCAAGACAGCCTACTAGCAACAGCCAGTTCTCCCAAATTTTCAGAGCTTGTTATGAAGTGTCTCTGGAGAATGGTCCGATTGTTACCTGATACCATCAACCACATTAATCTAGACAGAATACTTTTAGATATACACATTTTCATGAAGGTCTTTCCCAAAGAGAAATTGAAACAATGCAAAAGTGAATTTCCCATAAGGACCCTAAAAACATTGCTGCACACTCTATGCAAATTAAAAGGACCCAAGATCCTCGACCACCTCACAATGATCGACAACAAGAATGAGTCGGAGCTTGAGGCCCACCTCTGCCGCGTGATGAAGCACAGTATGGACCAGTCAGGGAGCAAGTCTGACAAGGAAACCGAAAAGGGAGCATCTCGAATAGATGAAAAATCATCAAAGGCCAATGTGAATGACTTCTTAGCTGAGATATTTAAGATTGGTTCTAAATAGAACACGAAAGAGGGCCTAGCAGAGTTGTATGAATACAAGAAGAAATATTCAGATGCTGACATTGAGCCATTTTTGAAAAACTCCTCACAGTTCTTCCGGAGCTATGTTGAGAGAGGCCTCTGGGCGATCGAGATGGAGAGGGAGGGCAAAGACCGGATTCCCACTTCAACAGGCATCTCCCCGCAGATGGAGGTCTCATGCATGTCTACCACCACAGGCACAGTGTCCTCCATCGTGAACTCGAATGGAGAGGAAGTGGGGCCCTCCGTCTACCTGGAAAGGCTGAAAATCCTGTGGCAGCGCTGTGGTCTGGACAATACCAAGCAGCAAGACGACCGGCCTCCGCTCCCTTCTCTGCTCTCCAAGCCAGCCGTCCCTCCGGCGCCGGGCACCATCCCCGAGCTGCCCGCCTTCGCCATGGAGCTGGCGGCGCCCACCAAGCCCAGTGAGCCATACACCAACTCGAGGGCGCTCCTGGAACAGCACAGGGGGGTCAGGGCCACGGGCCTCCGCAGGTTGAGCCTGGCGCCCACCTCCACAGGTACAAAAAGTACGTCTTCCTGGACCCCCTGGCCGGCGCGGTCACCAGGACCCACGTGTCGCTGGGCACCCAGACGGAGGAGAGGCCAGTCGACGCGCTGCTCTCCATCAGCAAGAGGGAGCAGCTGGAGCGGCAGGTGGGCAGCGAGCTGTAGGCTACGGGGGGGGGGGGGGGGGGGGGGGGCGGGGGGCGGGCCCAGGGCGCCGCTCACAGCTGGCCCTCCCCCCACAGGCCCGCGAGAGCTACTTCTACGTGCCCGACCTGGGCCAGGTGCCCGAGATCGACGTGCCGTCCGACCTGCCGGGCATGGCCGACGACCTCGCCTACAGCGCCGACCTGGGCCCGGGCATCGCGCCATCGGCGCCGGGCACCATCCCTGAGCTGCCCGCGTTCGCCATGGAGCTGGAGGTGCTCGCCAAGCCCGGGGAAGCCGGGGGCCGGGTGGGGATGGGCTCCTCGGCGCCCCCCGCCCCCTTCCCGGGCACCCTGGCCTTTCTGCCTTTCTGTTTCAGACCTAGACGGTGGCAGTGGCGTTCTTTCAGCGCTGCCGCCGCCGCCACCGCCGCTGGCCCCGGCCATGCTGGTCAGCGCCCCCCCCCCCGCCCCCGCTGCCCCCCCCAGGAGGCCGCCACGGAGGACGCGGGCAGCGCGGGGCCCCAGGCAGGTAGGAGCAGTGACCCTCGGCTCTCCTGCCCGCCCCTCTGTCTGCTTTCTGGCTCCGGGAAGGCCTCTCCTGTCCCGCTAAGTGGCCTTTCGCTCCCAGTCTTGGGAGCAGTGCTGAGTCCAAACATCTTGTTCCACTGGAATCCTCAGAGGGGATGGTGGAGCCCCACGGGTACAACCCTGACTCCTGCAGGACTCCAGGGGGGTCCCCCCTTCTGGTATACCCAGCAGGGAAAGGGGCTTCCTGAACAGCGGAAGCAGAGCTCCCGCACCCAGAGGGCACACCTGTCTCGGGGGCACCTCTGGCACTGGCAGTACCTGGCCGCCTCTGCAGGGTGACACACCCCCCAGTTCAGGACACGGAGGACACAGCTAGCACCCAGGTCCCCAAGTACCAGCTCCCTCACCCCAGCACCCCAGCGAGGCTGGGCAGCGCTGTCCCCCAGCCGAGCCCCTGCCCAGGCCACTTCTCTTCCTCACACCCTTGCCTACCCCAGCGCCGGTCCAGGGAGCCCCCAAGGAAGTCATGGACCCGTCTAGTGGCCGGGCCGCTCTGCTCGAGTCCATCCGCCAGGCTGGGGGTATTGGCAGGGCCAAGCTGCACAGCGTCAAGGAGCACAAGCTGGAGAAGAAGAATCAGAAAGAGCAGGAACAAGGTGAGGAGACGCTGAGGCAGCTCGTGGGGGAGCTGGGGGAGGAGGGAAGGGTGTCTTCTGTCCCGGCCTCCTGCTGTCCCCGCGGGTCAGTGGTCAGTGTCCCCTCTGCGGTGAGTCTAAGCCCTGGGGCTCCCCTCTTCACCCCCCACGTCCTCCTACCTGATCCCATTTTTGGAACTTGCTTAGCTGAACTTGCCTCTCTGAGCTGGTAGGAGACAGCCTCATCAAAAGAGGAGAGAATAGAAAATTTTCTTTTTCTTTTTTTTTTTTTTTTTTTTTGCTTTTTGGGTCACACCTGGTGATGCTCAGGGGTTACTCCTGGCTTTGCACTCAGGAATTGCTCCAGGCGGTGCTGGGGGCGGTACTATGGGATGTGGGGAATGGGACCTGGGTTGGCTGCATGCAAGGTAAATGCCCTCCCCACTGTACTATCGCTCCAGCCTCAAATGTTCTGTTTGAGACAGAGAACACAGAGGTTAGCTCCAGCGGCTTCTCGCAGCTGCTTGCAGCCACAACTCCTGTGCACTGCAACTCCCAGACCTATCGGGTCAGCCTTGGGCACAGAGCTGCAGCCACAGGCCCAAACCCCAGAACCCCATGAGCTCTGCACGGGAACCCCTCCTGGGGCTAGTTTTGTGCCCAGGCAGGGGACAGCTCGACTTGCCCTTTTGGCACATGGAGGGCTATGATAGTGCCAGGAGAGTCACATTTCAGGTGAGTTCCCTAGAGCTGAACCCAGGACAGACCGAAGCTCCAGGAGCCCGGGGGAGCGAGCCCTGTGAGCAGAGAAAGCGGATAGGGCCCTGAGGAAAGCTGAGCGACACGCGTAGGGCGCCTGGTACTTGCTGCCAACCCCTGACTTGTCATGGTGTTCCGGTGTTCCTGTTGCAGCGAGGGCCACCAGCCACGGCGGGGACCAGATGTCAGATCTCTTCAACAAGCTGGCCATGAGGCGCAAAGTTCAGAGGCAGCGTGAGACGGTGTGGGGCCCACCCTGCCCTGCACTTCATGTTTTTCTGTCTCTAGCGGCTGGGGGAAGCGGGGTCCCCAACCAGCCCCCTCACCCCTCCCCCTCCCCCTTTTCCCTCCCAGGTATTTTCGGGAAAGGACCTGGGGCAGGGGCCAGCGAGGGGCCAGGTGGAACCTTCGCCCAAATGTCAGACTCCATCCCGCCTCTGCCACCCGCACGGCCGCCCCCAGGAGAGGGAGAGGAGGATGAGAATGACTGGGAAACCTACTCTGGTGCCCCACACCCAGGCTCAGGCTAGTGCCCTCTCGAGGGACCGACAGCCAACACGGCGACTGTGCCTGCCGGACCCCTCGGCCCCTGTGTCCCGGGAGGGACTGCAGAGAACTGCCCGGGCCTGACCTTCGAGGAGCTCGGGCTGACAGCATGGGGTGGGGAGGAGGCCATGGCTCTGTCGCCGCACTTCCCCGAGGAGACTTGAAGACTCATTGCGGATTAATAAATGGCAAGAACACAGCCTCGACCCTTAGCAGTGCGCTTTGAATGAAGTGCAGAGTGCAAACATGCCACCTTATCCTCCAGGCATCCCACGCCTCTTCCCCTGGGGTCAGGGTGAGCAGGGGAGGGCAGTCAGGGTCAGCAGGGGCAGTTGCTGCTGATTGGAGGGGGGAATTTTCACACAGGAAACAAAAATGGGTGACAGATATAGAGTTTCTAAAAAAGGTCACGCGGCGTGCCTAATGGCCCTGGGTGCAACTGCCCATGTCAGAGCAGGTGTCTGGAGGCTGCTTAAGTGGCTGAGAGGGATGGGAGGCAGGACCAGGAGAGGAGGCCAGGGAGAGCTGACGAGGGGTGCGGCATGGCTTCAGGGAGGGGGGCCTGTGGCCGGACCTCGCAAGAGGCTCCCTCCCAGGGCCAGGGTGCTGCTTGAGGGAACAAAGTCCCCATCCAGGAAGAGCCCTGTGGGCTCGGGCTGGGCATGTGGAACGTTTATTGTTCCCAGGAGAGAGGGAAAGGTCTGGGTCTGCTGGTTTTAGCTAGAAAGAAGAAGGGGAGAGGCAGGCTGGTAAAAGGAAGCTGGTTCCGAGGAAGTGGGTGAGGACCAGGTGCAGCCTGGGGGCGGCAGGAGCCCCTGTACCTGAGGTCCGACAGTCTGGTGTGGTAGGCCCACGACAACTCTGGAGCCGCGGGGTGCTGTGTTCACACGTGTGTGGCGGGGACTATGGCTGCTCACCTTTTTCTGGCAGCTCCTCGGCCCAACTGGCCACTCTTCTGCCAGCAGACGTGGACCTGGTGCTGATTCCCACAGGAGAGGATGACACCAGCCCCCCGGACACCACAGCACACAGGCTATAGAGAATGTGGCCCATCCCAGGCAGCTGAGGGAGACAAGGCGGCTGGAGAGCGAGAACAGTGGGTAGGGCAGTGCGCCTGCTTGCCCGACATGCTGCCAACCCCAATTCAATTCCTGGAACCCCGTATGGTCCCCCGAGTTCCATCAGGAGTGATCCCTGAGCACAGAACCAGGAGTCATCCAGGAGCACTATACCTTCCCATGGGCAGTGGACTCCGGGAAGCAGACGACGGCCAGGTGGCTCCTCCGGGGTGGAGCTTGCCAAGCACACCCAGTGATGCTTCTGGTGAGTGGAAGCGCCTGGGGCAGACCACAGAGCTAACAGCACTCAGGGAAGGCCACCGAGTCCTTCCTTTTCTCATGGTCAGCGTCCAGGTGGGCAGTAGGGGACTGAAAGGCTATTGTAGCCTACTGGGCACTTAAAACTCTGGGTATGACCAACACCTGCGCAGAAACTAAGGGGCTGGGGATTAAGGTACTTGATTTGAGTTTATTAGATTCACACTCCAACAGGCCCCACTCTGGCACCCCAAATGGTTCCCTGGGCACTGCCAGGGGTGATCTCTGAGTGCAGAGCCAGGGCTACCTCCTAAATACTTCCGCGTGTGCCTCTCTACCCCACCCTCCAAATAAATGTGGATGTGGACGTACAGCTTGACCCTGAGAAGCAGACCGTTCCTCCCCCCACCTTCACCCTCGTCCCTCAAGTGTCTCTCCTGCCCAGGGAAAGACAAGCTGGCGGCTCCTAACTGAGGCAGCTCCATGCTCTGCTGTGTGGCCTCCAGCTGCCGGGAGGAGGGTCCAGTACAGAGTCGAGGGGCAGGATATTGTCTGGGGGATCATGTGAGCTGGTTTGAGCCCCAGTGGGGGGCTGGAAACTGGAGGTGCAGGCTCTTCTGAAAGGCAGGGCCCAGAAAGGGCACCCCCAGCCCCCTCTCAAAATGAAACAACCCAGAGTGTAACACCCCATCCCCACCATTTCCACCATGGCATTGGATGGTGTACCCCACCCACTATAGGTGGGGGGTTGTCGGGGGACACAGCGGATGAGGGCAGAGGGTTCAGCCTGCAAACGCTCAGACCCCACCTCAGGATCCTCCCACCTAGAGGGGTTCCAACCCCCCACTGGGCCCTGGGGACTGAGGGGGCACAAGGCAATGGAGCAGGTGGCCCCTCGTGGCTCATGACAAGTCTCTACAGGACCTGCAGCTGTCCGCTTGCTGGGTCCTGCTATCCAATGTGGGGTTTGCCAGTCCTGCAGGAAGGCGCTCCCTGATCTGCCGAAGATCCTGAGTGGTGAGGCTTGGGTTGGGAGGAGGAGCAGGGGGCCAAGGGCAGATTCCGGGAGACGAGACCTGAGGAGTAGGAGGGACTTGTGGTGAGAAGAGAATGGGGGCCAGCCCTGTGTCCCCAAGAGGCCGAGTGCATGGGTCTCCTTCAATCAGCCATTTCCTTACTTTACACTGAACAGAGTTGAGGGGCAAGTTCTCAGGAGGACTGCTGGAACTCTTCTGGGTGGGCAAGCAGGATTTAGCAACCCAAGAGGCCTGGGTTTGCATCCTTGAGCCCTTTATCTGACACTGACCATTTGAAAGGCCGCACCATTGTGTCCATCTGACCTTTGGGAAGGGCCCATCGATGCAGCCAAGTGGGCACATAGTTGTGTGTGGGGTTTCTGAAGAGGATGGGATGAGGTGATGGAAAGGCAGGCCTGGGCTTCTCCTTGTGTGGGCTCCTGGCCTGGCCTGGCCCTTCTGGCCTTGGGGTGGGGGGTTCCCTGTGCTCTTCTTTCCTAGATAATGATAAAACATCATTAAAGAAAAGGGGATGGGAGCGCAGGCTACTGGAGGTGAGCACTCCCCAAGCATTCATTCTCCACAGCTGCCCCCTTCCCTTCCCTTCCCTTCCCCGGGGTGAAGAACTGGGCTCAGCTGCCTACAAGTCTCTGGGAAGGAGGAGAAGCCCTGGGAGCCCCATGCAAGGAGGAGCCCCCTATCATGCTGCCTGCCAGCCCACCTCCCTCTGCTCATGGGGATACTTCCCTGGTCCCGTGTCCTCTCCCCTGCATCTGCGTCTCTTACACCTTCTATTCACCTCTGAACCCACTTTCAGGAGGTGATAGGGGTCAAGGCTTTGCTGTGTCCTCATGTAGGTTGTTGGTCTTGGCCACCCATGCATCATCTGTGCTATGGGAAATCTCCTCTCACCCAGAGTAACCTGGCAGTCTGGTGACCGGGAAAGGGCTCTAGCCAGTCAGGGGCATTCCTTACCCATGTTCACGTGTTGTCGTTCTCAAGTCCTGATGAAGCCCATCTTGGGTTTTGACTTTCCTCACTGCCTGGACCCTTTATCTGCGTGTGCACATCCTGCCGCCTGTTACAGCTTTTTCTTTTGACCCACTTCATGGGCGAGAGGAGCTGTCCCCCTCCCCTAGGACTCCCCTTTCCCTTCTTCAATTTTCCAGGCAGTTCTTGGTGACCATCAATGATGACTTGGCTAAAGGACATTCTTCTAGTTTTCTTAAAGAAAGATAACTATTTCAACAAAATGAGGTTGTTTGGGGGATAAAAGCTGTGTGTGGGTTTGGGTTTATTTGCAAGAGACCCGCTGGGAAAGGTGGGATGGAGGAGACTGGGGGAATGTCCCTGAAATGCAGGCCTTGGAGAAGATGAACCACTTCAAGAAGATATTTTTTGTCTCATAGCCTTGTTTATTAAGACACGGGCTCTAGGACCTTTGAAACACATCCCTGGCACTGTTTAAAAATTCTGTTTGGGCCATAGTATGATTTTCGCCACTTGAGCCAGTGCTCAAAGATTGTTGCAGGTGGTGCTGGGGGAGCACATTGTGTGGGGGATAGAATCTAGACCTCCTGTGTGCAAAGCATGTGCCCACGTAAACGAGCTACTTCTTTGTTTTTCATTTTTAATTTAATTTATTTTTTAAAGTTGTTCACAATAATTTATTACATTCAATTTTTTCAACACCAATCTTGACACCATTACACCATCCCACCACCATTATTTCAAATTTTCCCATCACCACCTCAAACTGCCCCTAGAGCACGTACTAAATAAGTTATTTTGTATCGCTTGTTATGAATAATCTGCTAAAAATGATCCCCAAAAAGTTTCCTTAGAGGAAAGTGTATGAAGAGTGTTATATCTTGCCCTGGAGTCATTAAGTCCTTGTATAAGAGATTACTAACATGTTACAGGTTGCCCCTTCTGTGCTAATATATGTGTATATATTTATATATATAAATAGGTTGCCTTCTACATTACACACCATTAAATGTGGTGTGCTACTCTTGGTACATCAGTGGGGCAGAGTATGGGCAGAGTGTGGGATGTCATGTGACCGCAAGCTCCAGGAATTCTAACGAGCCACGTCTGAGCTTCCTCAGAAGGGAGCACCAAATAAAGAGTGTTGGGAGGATCCTCTCAGCATGCGAGAAGCATGGTGAGAGTAGACTATACACATGATTGCCACTCAATGTCTCTCTGGCAAACCACAGAACGCAAAAGGAGAGAGAGAGAACAAAAGGGAATGCCCTGCCACAAAGGCAGGGCGGGATGGGAGGGATGGGGGGTGGGAGGGATACTGGGACCCGTGGTGGTGGAAAATGGGCACTGGTGGAGGGATGGGTATTTGATCATTGTATAACTGAAACCCAAGCAGAAAAATTTGTAAGTCTATAACTGTACCTCATGGTGTTTCACTAATACAAAAAATAAAAAAGATTAAAAAAATAAAAATACTCTAATACAGGAATGCCAATTCTATTACGACAAAAACCTGTGCAGGCAGCCAGATGCTGAACAAAGAGCATGGCTTTCCTGAGGTTTATCCCTAACATGTTTCCACTTCATGGGAGTGAAATATTTTGCTATGGTGGACAAGGAGAGGTTAGGGAAAACATTATGGCATTTAAAATAACAATTAAG